CAACGTGGGATATGGAAATCCAGCTGTGCTCCGCCACCAGCGACTCAACAGTTTCCGATTTCGTCTCGCTACTCCAGGGATGATCCATACGGCAGACTTGACTCCAGCTGGTCCTATTGTATTGGCTCTGCAGTGACAGACAACAGGAGCCAGAAACTTTTTGTTCAAGTAGAGCCAGCAGATGTGACACTGAATAAACACAGACAGTCAATCTGCTGAGTAAGAAGGTATCGTTCATATAAATAACATACATCTAATCCTGCTTCCATTTTAAACCCAAATATGGGAATGCAAGATGCTCAGCGCTCTGTAGATTCATGCTTCGAACAATGAGATGAAGCAAAAGCAGAGAAGACGCAGCCCCTCCGAGCTCAGCTGAATTCTTCTTTCACTTTTGCTTTGAATTATTCGCAGATCCACAGCTTTCTCCACGGAGAGCTTCCCACAGAGCGTTAACAGTCTGTCCAGGCTAATGTCAGCTGGGATAAGTTGGCCTTATCAAAATATCTGCTGGTCCCTACTGCTTCTCCTGATGGACCTTAATTATAGAGCAATTAAAAGTATTATTCCAATCATTTTAACCTCACACATTTCGAACATCGGCATTACACTCACTGAGGGGTTTCTCATGGTCTCAGCGACAGGACTTGTTGGCCTTGACCGCTGAGATGACACATTTCCTGCTTATTGGAAAAGTTTGCAAATTTGCAGCTGCCAGAAAAAATTATTTCCTTAAAAAGCCAGCAATTATACGAATTGGCACACAAGAAAACCTCCTCTTTAGAGGTTACACACAATACTGACACCAGGTCTGTGCCTGGTTTCAGTATCATACGCCCTCCGAAAGCCAGTAAAATTGGTAGGTGAGCTGGACGCAGAGAATTCTTCTGCCAGAACCCACTAAATTCTTCTGCCAGTGACACCAGGTCTGTGCCTGGTTTCAGTATCATACGCCCTCCGAAAGCCAGTAAAATTGGTAGGTGAGCTGGACGCAGAGAATTCTTCTGCCAGAACCCACTAAATTCTTCTGCCCAAAGCCACTAAATGGAGCACCCGGCTTCCAAACACCCCTGCCACGCGCCTCGCACGAGCACACGCTCTCTTTTTGAGAGTTCCCAGGCTGCAAAGTACGGCTGCAACCTAACCCAGCGCTTGGTACCCACCCCCTGAGG